TATAAATTCAAATATTGTGACAAAATTAATTTTGTAGGGTGCCACAAGTTTCTCAAAATTTCCAAAGGGTGCCGCAAATAAAAAAAAGGTTGGGAAACACTGCTATACAGTATACTGCCAAAACAGTGAAAGTAGTGTGATAGCAGGTTATTCTGAACAGCTAAAGTTTAAAGGGGTAATTCACCGCTGACAAGATGGGCTTTTAGTAAAACTAAAAACTTAAAATGGTGCTATATGATTAGAGAAAACAGAGAAAAGGGGCTATGGAATGCCCTTTTGCCAAAAAAGGGAGGAAAACTTCAACACCCATGAAGCACTGGGCTCAATCGACTGTCCGTAAGCGATGATACAAAAATACAGAAGTACGATCTGAAGTTCGTCATCCGTAAAACATTTGCTGACAAATAAATGGATGTTTCTGTGCAGGTAACAAAGAGAAAAATACACATTGTTCATTTACATATACTACTGACATGTAACAACACAAAGTGGGTTAAAAATCTGCAAAGTCGCCCTTTAAACACCTGACCAAAGCACTGGTGTATTGTCATGTAATCCTAAAATATGCAGAGATAGCAACAAGCTGAATAGGTTTGCAAATGAAATGCTTAGGTCTCTGGAAAGGTTTTATTAGATGAAACAAGTGTGCCACTAGGGCTTATGGAGTGTGCACTCATTTTGTTAAAAGAACAGTGGAGATAAATGATCTGATAAGCGACAGGAGGGTAGCAGTAACAATGAACACTGGGAAGAACCACTGCAGACAGACAAACTCCAAATAGTACACGTGTTGACATGGTTTCTTCTGTTAAACAGAACACTTTTGAAATGACTGCCATATCTTAACTACAACTCAATATTTAATGCAACCATAAGAAATTAACTGCTGAACCAAATGAAGAGCCACAATACTAACTGTTATCTTGGGCTTAAGACACTATCATATGTCAACCTGCATGATGATTTCTCAAATGTAAGCTGAAAAGGTCAAAACTGGGCACTCAGCAGAGTTTTATATTACAAGATGTCTGTAATGTTAGAGGAGGAGGTAGATTATCCCTACAGACATCATCAGCACATGCCACATCTCTGCACCAATGCAAGTTTTTTTTATTGTCATTCTGCCAAGGGTAAAAAAAGAAGAATGAAATATACACCTAACAGAAATATGGCAATGGCAGCAAGCCGAAAACAGCAGACAATAAATATAATTTAGGAAATAAACAGTAAACAATAGACAGAAAACAGCATACCAATCACGCTGACAGATGTTTGCTTGTGCAGAATTTCAAACAAAATTTGACACAAAGTTTGAAAATAGCAAGCATCCATACCAGCAAACTGACCCTGGACCAGGTGCTCTGAGGTCTGACAAACTCTTTGTCAGCAGTAAATGTGAAAATCATGCACAAGCTGCTAGTTTACAGTTGCACCTGAGACAGTGAACCGAGTTCCTGAAAATGGAAACCGTCCTGCACAACAGACCATGAAACCTAGTTCTCTTAAAAACAGAACTAATCAGTGATCCTGCACCGCTTTTCAGCAGCATACTATACATAGTTAACCTATTTTATTTTAGTTGTGAATGTGAGTTTGAAGTCTGTCAAGAAGCATCTTTCTGTTGAGATATCCTCACAGGCTTGCATGCAAAAATAAACAGTGCAGACAGATTCAGATTCTTATGAGCCGTTTCTTTTCTATGAATCAAAAACATACAGTACGATCAGGGTAGTCTGAATCACGAATAATTGTCTCTTATCAAATGTCTCTTTTCAGTGAATCAAAATCATCTTAATGAGCTGATACTCTTTTATGAATCAAAAACAAACAAATGATTCTTAATGAGCTGATACTCTTTTATGAATCAAGAGACGTGCTGATATCGTGTTTGGTCTCGTTCTGTATCGTGTATCTTGTCAGTGTCTGCACTTGCTTGGCCATATGTTGTGGAAAAAATAAGGAAAGCGTGTTCAAGCGCCAACAGAAAACAGTGTAAAAAAAAATACTCTTTGAGAGAAGCAGTCTTTATCAGCTTAAGTTAAAAGCAGCTCCTAAGTGTATTTACTTGTCTCTTTAGTGTGTAGTGCAGTTGTCGTTGCTCGGAAACGCTTGTTTTGTTTACTGTGTGGAGACGTGCTGATATCGCATTTGGTCTCGTTCTGTATCCCGTATCTTGTCAGTGTCTGCACTTGCTTGGCCATTTCTTGTGAAAAAAATAAGGAAAGTGTGTCCAGCTGAATTAATTTAGTATTTTTTTAGAGGGGAGCGGATACTCTTTTATGAATCAAAAACAAACAGTGTGATCAGGGTAATCTGATTTCCAAATATGTTGCTCTTTTCAGCTGCTTCTTTTAATAAATTGTTTTTAAAAAACGAGTAGAATGAATCTTGATTTACTGACCTTCGACACTGAATATGTAAGATTCTGTAAGAAACACTAATTCATTGATTACATGAACTTACATTGCAATAATACCAGTGATAGCAAAGAAAGAGAAAAAATTTATCAACTATATGGGGGCCCTTTTGCCTGTTTTCAGAGGCCTGTGAGCCATACTGTATAATGGCCTTTGGTCTACAAGCATTTACAAAATAATTTCATTACAGTATGGCTGTTTTGGACATAAAGATCAAAACCATTATTGATTCTCCTGTGTACACTTGTCCATTATTAGATTGGTGGCAAAGGCTATCTGACCTTTGAAATGCTCATTGGGTAGAGATTATGAGCAGCTGAATGTCATGTGCACTAATGCCCTTAAACTTCACTTCAGATTACGTCTGATCTTGCTGGTATTTTGGCCCTCTCCACCACAGCTGCTCCATTATGTTCTACTTATAGCATCTGTGTATCATCCATCAGTGTGTCTTTACATGTCATCTGAAGAAAAGCATGTCAATGATAGAAAATTATTTCTAATCAGATACCAATTATTATGACTGTGTAGCTTTTTAAATATGTTGTCAGTGTTTCCCAAAAAACAAACAGCAAATCCACATCCCTGAGCTATAAGTGCATGACAAAACCCACACGGTTTGCCTTCGATTATCTGCAAACAGCATTCAGATACTCTCTCTTGCTTCCTTCTGTTGTGTGTGTATGGGGTATAGGGGGTTTTATAAGGCTGTTTTAACACGTTTTCCTTAAAACTAAATATCTATTTTTATATTCATAGCAAATAATTTTTTTAATTATTAATAAGTATAACTGTGACTTTTCAATTCCTCAATTATTGGATATTATTTTATTATTTAGTTAACTGCATCGGTTTAAATAGTTAATATATTCCAGTTTTCCTAGTACTAACTAAACAGACAGTAGTACATTTTCTTTATTCCAATTAATGCTAGTAATATTTTACTACTATAAAGTATAAAAATACAAAGTAGCCATTACTATAAAGTAGCCATTTCGACAAGTCATATGACAAGTAAAAAAAGCAACTGTAAGAAGATGAGAAATGTTACAATTAGGATAGACACAATAGTCTTAAAAATAAGTACAGGTAAAACATAGGTGAAATATAGACACTAATAACTATTAGGATTATTTTATTTTAGGGGAAATAAGTAGGTCAACTAGTACATAGAAATATTTTTCAAAGTTGTTAATAAAACAAAGATTATTGCAGTATGTTTTATACTTTCTACTTCTTGTAATTGTGAAGTTTAATAGCAATTTCTGAGTTAAGATTGTTTCTATGCCCTTTTTTCAGTGTAATGAATAAAACATAAATAGGTAGCAGTAACAGAATTCAAGCAAGAAATGTGCAATCTGTTACCAGTAATAATTGAATAGTTACTTGTGCAAGTGACTAGAAGCAAATAAATACACACTAGTATGTACTGAGACAAAGCTAATAGATAGTAGTCACTGTAGGAAGCGCAGGAATTTAAACAATTGCTAGTAAAACTCACAAAGATACTATTAGATAAACCCCAAGTACTAGTAACATAAATAATGTTACTAGTTATTTTAAAGGAATAAATGTTTGCAATGGGGGGACTGTCAATGCTCAGCTGGTTTCCACAGATACCGTCATCCCTCTTCTAGTCCCTAGATTACGCGCATCCGCAGCGCAGCACAGCGCGCGACGGCCTGGTTCTGTCCATGGTGCTAGTTATCGTTGCCCGAGAGGGAGATTTATTCACTGAGGCTAGAAGCAGCCTCTGTTTCTCTCTCACTGTTACTATCTATGCGTGCAGACATGCACGTAAGTGTTAGTTTAGGCACTGTATGAAAACGCCATGTCGTCCTTTGTGTCATAACAACCGTTTTAGCTCCTCTATCGAGCGAGCGCGCGCACAGACACATACACATCACATCACGCATCCCCAGACCACACGCACACCCCCTCTTGCGCGACGCGTGTAGCGCTGTGCGGATCACACACACCATGGTGCGCCGAGCAGAGGCGCAAAATGGCACACGAGCGCGATCAATACCCCACTGCACGGCACAGGCAGAGCCGCGCGCAGCCCGCATGCAGTCCAGGCGCTCTTCCCGCTCACCCATTCCTCTCCCACCGGCTATAGGTCATGCAGAGACACTGCGGGGTAACATTTTTTTTTACCTTTCATCCAGTCCAGCACCTGCTTTGGGGACCATTTGCTGATGGGTTCCATGACCAGCGCCATGGCTGGTGTGCGTTGATTTCCCAGTTGAATTGTGTATGGAGCGCGCGGAACATCCGAGCCCAGAGAAACAGAACAGTACCGCCGTTAGATCACAGGGGCACATGTGATTCCGTTACATTGACCGCAGCGCGCGCGCGGCAGGAGCCTGGTTGTTGGATACATCCTCGCGGACGACTGCGACGGTGAGAGATTCACGCGCGCGACTGTACCCCGCCCCCCCCTCCAGCGCTCTCTCTCTCTCCAAAGTATGCACCTGCTTCTCCAGTCTACCGAGTGAAAAAAATGTCTCTCTCCCCCCTCCCTTCCGCGCTCGCAACGCTGCAGTATCACATGGGTCAACGATTCCGTGAGCGTGGGGACAGTTCGTTGACACTACCGATAAATGCTGAACAGCTCCAGCGCGAGAACCAAACGAGTGCCATGCAAACGACTACTTGAAATGCGTGCTTTTATGCTCTCTCTCTCTCTCTCTCTCTCTGGGTTGGACCGTTTCGGGTCTACACGAGCTCGCTCCTCTGTCAGCGTCTGGAAAATTTCTGCGCGCCCGTTCGCTTACGTCACCGCAGCCCAATATGACTCGAATAGCAAAAGTCGGAGTGTGCGCCTGCTGAACCAATAGCTGCGCAGCAGAGTGAGGTAACCGCAACCGCCAGGGAAACCGGGCCACCCGATAAAATAGACAGAGAACACAAGTTTGGGCTGCTGATTGGAAAGGCACAGAAAGAGAAAGCAGTTTGGGGGGTTCTGGGGCTCTGGTTATGTGGCAGTAACAAATAAGGACGTCCGAGATTACAGAATGAGGAAATCTTAAATAATAATAATGATAATAAAAGAAATGGTTTGAAACGCATGTGCTACAATCTAAAAGTGTACAATCTTTGTGTTCATATAAGTTTTAAATACTTTTCTCTAAAATATTGATTTAATGACTTATCAAGGGATGTAACCGAATGAAAAGTATATTTTGTGCATTGAAGTCACTTGAATGCACGTGACTTACACATACATTAAATTAAACTTCATTTTTAAAAAAGCGGCTTTGAATATATAGTGTGAAAAGCACTATACAAATACATTAATTAAATTAAGGATTGTTTAAAGGGGTCATATGATGTTGCTAAAAAGATCATTATTTTGTGTATTTGGTGTAATGAAATGTTTATGCGGTTTAAGGTTAAAAATAAACACATTATTTTCCACATACTGTACATTACTGTTTCTCCTCTATGCCCCGCCTTTCTGAAACGCGTCGATTTTTACAAAGCTCATCGGTCTGAAAAGCGAGGTGTGCTGTGATTGGCCAGCTATCCAGTGCGTTGTGATTGGCCGAATACCTCAAGCCTGTGATGGAAATGTTATGTCCCTTACCATATTGTGATGCCCTGTCCGGCCGGAGCAACAAGACAAAAACCCGTTATAAACGAGGCATTTGCTGCATCCAGTGGGGACATAATTACGGATTATAATGTCTTTTTACGCGTTGCATCGCGCCGCGTAAACCTAAAACCATTGTCTGCATTTGAGATCGGAGAAATGACAAACAACAAGTGCTACTCTACACTGCTCAAAACTCACGTTTGAATCGTCAGAGGCAAATCCTTTAAATGAAAACATACTTACATTTGGGTTGAAGTGTTCTGGAACAGTTGTAAATACAACTTAACCACTGATTTCTAGTAGTGTCCTTTTTGGAAGGCCAAACAAAGTAGTTTCGCTTTCACAATGAAACCGCATCACACACACCACAGCCTTGAGAGAGCGGAGGCCGGCTTGAGTGAGCAGAGGTGGGCAGGCGGGTGGCCTGGCGGATTCGACGAAGGAGCGTCCGGCGGGCTTGCGGCAACCACATGTGACGACCCCGGGCTGGACTCTGCTTCGTCCACGGGGAAAGCCGATCCGGCGATCGACAGCATGATGTTGATGCATTTCCTCAGCGACCAGCACGGATCAGCTCCAGGCATGACAAAGCAGATATCGTCCTCTTTCGGAAGGCCAGTTTTGCTTTCACAACGAAACACAGCGCCTTCACGACATGGTGGCTGCAACAACACTACAGCGAGAATAAAAGTTACGCCTTCTTTGCGTGAACATTTGGGCGGCGTTACGCATATCTTCCCACATCGTGACGTAGACATGTGGGGACGTTAGAACGAGCCATTTTTGGTAGGCGTGGTTGACTCTGAACTTTTATAAAGAATATCTCTTTGGATTTGAGACTTTAGTCTTTGCAACTTTACAGACCTTCTTTATGCACCAAGAGCTTGTAATACTCCAAAGAGAAAAGGAAAAACTGAAACCGCATCATATGACCCCTTTAAAAGAAAATAAGGTGATAGATAGATAGATGTCACGATGTGGTGGGGATGAAGCACATGGTGCCAGGGTAATCCAGAAGTGAGTCTTTAATTATCAAACCAAGAGTTAAACAGAAGAACAGGAGTAAAACACCACAACGTAACTTCAAAGCAAGACAAGGGAACTGAGGAAAACTGGGTCAAGGCAGGATGCACAGAAACATAGGGGATACAAAACATAAATGTGACAAATGTGACATTATGCCCCCCTCCGAAGACCTACATAACATCGAGGGGTAGGAGGGTGGGCACAGAGGAATTAGATCCATTAGAGTGGTATGTGGAGGTTACCGGCGTGAGGTGAACTGGCGAGGCCAAGTGCTTTTCAGAGGGGGCTGTATGAGAATGGGTCGAGTTATCTTTAACTTCTTCCAAGTATGAACCATTTAAATAGAGAATGAGATTAATCATCTCAACCAGGGTGAATTCACACGCTGGATAACTATACCGAATTGTGTTCTCATTCAGTCCCAACCGAAACACGGCACCAAGAAAGGCGTCAGGCCAGCTCACCTGATGGGAGAACTCAAACTCCTCCACATACCTCTCTAATGGACGGTTACCCTGTCGAAGGTCCCATAGGCACTCCTCAGCCCAGTTAGTGTCGCTCTGTTCAGTCATCTCGTTTTATGGTCTTGCTTTCTGTCACGATGCTGTGGGGATGAAGCACTCGGTGCCAGGGTAATCCAGAAGGGAGTCTTTAATTATGAAACCAAGAGTTAAACAGAAGAACATAGGAGTAAAACACCACAACATAACTTCAAAGCATGACAAGGGAACTGAGGAAAACACAGGCTTATAAACACAGGGAACGTGATTAGGCAGAACTGAAACAGGTGGAGAACTAAATCAAAATGGGTGAACAGAATAGACTAATCAGGGAACAACGGAAAACTCAAAAAAAGTCAAGGCAGGATGCACAGAAACGTAGGGGATACACAACCAAAACAGAACAGAAACGTGATATAAATGTGATAGATAGATAGATAGAAAGAAATATAATTCCAAAAGCTTTATTCCCTGTTTATTTCAAAATGAAATTTTTTTATTTGTTTTTATTTCCTTTTAAGAATTACATCCTTTTAATTCAGTCTTCAGTTAAATTATAAAAAAAAACTTTCAAAAGAAGGTGTTTGAGTTATTTGTCTATAAATTACATTTATTTTCAATTTATGTTATTTATTTTTTTTAAACGTAGCAGAAATGACCATCACATCATTGACCCATGCAATTACGTCCCATACCACAGAACATCAAAATATGGCAAGAAACTAGATTAAATGTTATTCTAGCCTGGGCAGTTTCCAGGACTAGTGGGGAGAGAGAAAGAGAGAGAGCGGTCCATCTGGTATTATGGTTTGCCACATGGTGCCAGGCTAAAGAGCCCGTTTAGATGCCCACAGAGCAGCTACAAGAGTGTGAAGTAGCCATGTTGGCACAGAACAGATTAACACACACACAAACACATTTAAAGATCACAGTTATCAGTTAGGCTAATCCTGTTGATGATGCTGTGAGTTTGTGCCAGGATATCAGCATTGTGCATTGTGTGCCAAACACATGCACTCACATGCACTCTGCACGCACACAAACACACATTATTACTCATGGCCCATTAACTGTTATGTCGGTACCTCCCTAAATGTGACACCAGAGTAATGTCAAATCACTATGTCAGCTCATTCGTGGCAGTAAAGGCATTTAGGTTTTATTTCTTCTATCCATTACTACATTAAAATAGAAAGCTTAATAGTATATTGGAGGCAATGCAAGTATTTTAGCTGTAAACATCGATGTAATATATAAAAAATAGAGTTCTCACACAGCTCTGGTTGAAGGACCCCTATGGCAGTGGTTCTCAAACTGGGGTACGCGTACCCCTGGGGGTACGTGAGGTGACGGAGGGGGTACGCGAACAAAATTCTGAGTTTTGGCATTCATTTAATTCTACCCCAACTTAAAGTAACATTAAAACCGAACATGTATTTCTGACAAGCAAAATGCCGCTGCTAATGTAAAAACAGGAAAATGGGAGTGTCGTAAACGGTCAATTACATGATATCCAATCAGTTTTTTGCGGTCAAAACTGACAAGCAGCGTGCATGTGATAGGATGCCCGCTGAATATGCTGCTTTAGCTAGATCTTCACTTAATAGCAAGAAGAGCAAATATTGTCCCAGCAAACACAGAACGTTCCCCTAACGTTAGTTTTTGGTTCCCAAAAAAATAACCAAACGGGAACCAAATACTAACGTTAGGGGAACGTTCTTTTTAGGTTATATTTTTTGCAACCATAAAATAACGTTCCCAGAACGTTGCAGGGTGGTTATTTTTAAATAACCTAAAAATAACTTATAGAGAACGTTCCCTAATGGTTATTTTTATAACCCTGTAAAACTATCTTTCCAATGAAAACGTTGCAGATGTTAATGTGTAATGACCTATACAGAGCCCTGAAATTCGTTTCATGCAGCATTTATTAAAATACAGAAATTAGATAAATCAAAAAGCGATTTAAATTATAATATTAAGCCAGGGTTAAGCATAGAGTGATAACAGAAATCATAAATTTGTGGGGGGAGCCAGAGGGCACCCTGACCCGTGACAGTACCCCTCCCCGGAGGACTCACCATGACGCCGATGAAACTGGTCGATGAGAGCGCGATCCAGAATGTCGCGAGCCGGAACCCAGCATCTCTCCTCCGGACCATAACCCTCCCAGTCTACCAGTTATTGGTGACCTCTACCCCTACGCCTCACATCGATTAGTCGCCATACCGTATAAGCCGGCGACCCCTCGATGAGTCTGGGAGGCGGGGGGGCAGAGGTCTGGGGCTGAAGGGGGGGAGCAAATAACGGGCTTGATCTTAGATACGTGAAATACCGGGTGAATATTCTTAAAAGGGGGGGTTAATTTGAGTCGCACTGACACCGAACTGAGCACTTTAGAAATGATAAACGGTCCAACGAATTTGGTTCCCAGTTTACGTGAGGGGAGTCTGAAGTGAAGGTCCTGAGATGACAACCAGACCTTTTGACCGCACACGTAAAGTGGGGGCTTAGTACGGTGACAGTCCGCCGACGCTTTGTTCCTCTCGCCAGTCCAGGTGAGGGCTTCTCTGGTGATCCTCCAAGTATGGAGGCACCTCTGAATGAAC